ATTCAAGATTAACGAATATGATAAGTGCGTTTACATTATAAACATTCTGAATCATAAAGTCATTGTTTATCTGTATGTTGATAACATGTTAATAATAAGTAAAGATATTAACGATATAAATGCTACTAAGCGCATGCTATCTAGAAAGTTCGATATGAAGGACTTGGGAGTTGCTGATTTGATCTTGGGGATCAGGATTTTCAAAACTTCTCAGGGAAAACATTATCTCAATCTCATTATACTGAAAGAGTATTGGATAAGTTCAAGTACTTGAATTTCAATGTTGTCAAAACTCCAATTGATTTAAGCTTTAGATTTCAAAAGAATGAAGGTGAAAATGACTCTCAATTGGAATATGCCAGAGTGTTCAGAAGTTTGATGTATATTATGAATTGTATGCGACCAGATATAGCATTTGCTATTAGCAAACTAAGTCAGTTCAATAGTGATACGAATCAAACTAACTGGATGTCAATAAAACATGTGTTGGGGCATCAGAAACATACACTACACTATACTTTGCTTTATAATAAATATATGTTGTGATTGAAAGGATATAATGATGCAAGTTGGATCACCTAGTCAAATGAAGTAAAAACCACAAGTGGTTATGTGTTTACTCTTTGTGGAGGAGTAGTCTATTGGAAATTATCCATACATACATGTATCGCTCACTCCAAAATGGAATCTGAATTTTTTGCTTTAGATAAGGCTGGTGAAGAAACTCAATGGCTCCAGAATTTCCTAGAGGATATTCCATTTTGTCCCAAACCTATTGGACCTATTTACATACATTGTGATAGTCAAGCAGCAATAGGAAGGGGAAGGAAGCGTTATGTACAATGGTAAGTGTTGTCATATACGTCGGAGACATAACACTATAAGACAACTGCTCTCTAGTGGAATTATCACATTTGGCTATGTGAAATCAAGTGATAATGTGTCAGATCCACTAACAAAAGGCCTAGTGAGAGAGGCAGTTGAAAGATTATCTAAAGGAATGAGTTTACGGCTTAACACAAGTTAGCATGGCGGTAAATCTATCTAGAAAACTGGAGATCCCAAGATCTAGATTCAAGGAGAAAAAAAAAGTTGTGACTGGCGGTTCGGCATTGTCAATCAACTTAATCCATTCTCATGATGAAGACAATGTTCAACAGCAAGGTTAAGACTTTAAGGCTTGTTAATGAGTTAATAAAGCTTAAGGTTTTTAATGATTTGCTAAGTTTGAAAGATTTGACCAAATATGTATCTACAAGATGACACGGTTAAGAATCACCTGTGTGAGTGTGAAGTGTAAGCCACTTCAAAGAGAATTTTATGTCAAAAGCCTATTCTCTATACACTTATGAAACCAGGAGGTGTTGATGACTAAAACCAACACAACTGCAAGAACTATAAACACTAAAAGGTTAATTGTGTAACATATGATTGTCTAGATATAAACCAAAGCTCGACGGTTCAAAGATATTGCATCTACCGATTGATCGAGTATATCCGACATATGTTCACTACAGAAAGTCCAAGGGAAAACCTACTTATCTATATGCAATTAATCCTTGCCTGTAAAGTACACATTTGTCCGTGGATTCCTATGTTATAGCCATTCCCCATTAATGTGGGGGATTGTTGGGTGCATAGCAAGAATTAATGGGAAATGGAGGGAAAATGAAAACAAAGGAACTTGAAAAGTCCTCTTATGCTTTAGTGAAAAGGCATTTGTCCGTTACCAGTGGTGGAAAAAAATAGGAGAGTTTAAATATAGAAAAAATCCTATTAATTGTTACATGGTTTGGAAAGAGGGACCCCCCCTTGCGCCGTTGTCATTGTCGCTCGCTCATCTTTGGCTTTGGAAAATAATCGATGGAGAGATTAATATTGGACAAAGTTTATTTTAATTATTTAATTAATTATTTATGTATAATTAAATTAAATTAAATGGCCAAAACATTTCAATTATTTAGTTGAGATTAACCAAAATGTTTCAACTTTTTTGTTGATTAACCCAAACCGACCTGGATCCGCGCGACCCTTTATTTAAATCTTTCCATTGTTATTTAATTTTCCCTCCGTTTGGAAATGATTGGTCTGAAAGGTTAACTTTCAAGAGCATCCAGAACCGTTTGAAAGGTTGCAAACTTTCATTAATAATCGTGTGGATTCCGAAAGAGTTGCCATATTTCGGAACCTGTTCTTCTTGCCTATAAATACCATTTATTCTTCAGAATTTTTCCCTACAATTTCTTTTGATTTCTGCTTCTTCTTCTTGACAAAAGTTTTTTCATGTATTTTACTGTTGTTGAGTGGTTCGTCGACACTAGAGTTTTGAGTTTCAATACGCTGGTGATTGAGATCATTCTATCTTGGAAGACATATTCCATATCAAACTTCAAATACTAGGTGGGAATAAATTCCTTAAGGGGACACTATGCATTCAGTGGGCTTGATCTTTTTCTACTGTAAGTTTCAATATTGTGGTACATTTAGAAATTTTTAGTTTTTTCTAAATTAATTTTTGTTCATCTTTCTTACTGGTTCAATCAACTTTGGTTACTTCGTGTTTGTGCAAAGTTTTGCTAAAATCAGTAATTATGTTCTTCAAACACAGATTGACAACAACTTGCACCTTTAATAAAACTGATAATTTCTAACATTGTTTAATCAATATATAGAATGTTCATGTTAACATTCACCTTTTGTGAGACACTCATCTTGTGGATATGTTGGAACTCAAAGTCCGAGCATTCACTCTCATATAACATTGTAATGGCTTGTCTTCAACCATTTTGCAGAACTTGTTTTCATTGTATTGCATAAGAGAATGCCCTACATAAATGAAAACAAGTTATGCAGAGTGGTCGAAGACAAGCAATTACAATGTATTATATAAGATTGAATGTTCGGCCTTTAAGTTCCAACATATCCACAAGATGGGTGTCGCACAAAAGGTGAAAATAACATGGACATGTGACTACATTGATTAAACAATGTTTCATTTGGATACATTAATTGTAGTAGATTATACAACTTGCCTATTGCGCTTAATATGGAATATTAACATAAAATTGATTTTCTTTCCCATAAATCACGCATTGATTGATATCAATCCATTCCAATCCGTAACAGGTTCACAAAATTCAAACTCAAATTTTCATCCTTTTTATAAATTCAAAATCGTAAAAGATCTATGAAATAATTGTCCTTTGTGTTGTTGCTCAACAACCTATTAGCATCGATGGAACGCTTGTTGATTTTCATCCTTTTTTTACATATTTGTTTGATAACTTTCTTTCAAGAATCCCAAAAATGATGTGCCCTTGGATCTCTCAAGAAAAATGAAGCAAAAACATTTTTAATATGGAGGAGAAGAAATATGATGGGTTTATGAGGAGTTCACTCAAGATTGAAGTAATGGATGATACAACGATGATTGTTATTTCTCAAGTTGGAAAAGTTTCTCAATCGATAAAAATATCAAGGATTTTGATGAACATGAAGAAATATAAAGCAAATCCAATGGTTGGGATAAAAGTAAAAGTGGTGTTTGTGCCATTAATTCATTGGTTTCTTATCCGATGAAGGAATTATTTTTTGTATCATCTCCTTATCCGACACCACTCCCTCTGCCCCTCTCTACCATTGGTATATAGTTTTTCGGATATATCATTGTTTATAGTTTTGTTTTATCATTTTGATGTGAATATGCAAGGCACTATACATTAGTAGTAAACAACCTGCGTGTATAGTGATTTTGTATCTATAGATTATAACGTAGTCATTATTTTGCATTCGGATGTTATTTATATAAAAGTGTATCATCACAATATATTGTATATGATACATGCAATAAATAGATTAACAATTAAGATGGATCTAATATGTTTTGAATATCGAGTGTGTGTATCACAATTTGTATCAGATTATTATTGTTTAGATTATACATATAAATTGGGTAACAATTAAAATATGTAAATTACTTATTTTGATCAAGATTAATGTCGATGATACATTAATATATATATCAATCTTGGAATTTTTCGTTAATGATTGTATCATTGATAATTTTAACGTACCTATTATATGTTATAAGATGGTTACAAGATTGTGCCGATATATGTTAATTTTTTAGATATGTGGCTTTGAGAATTGGAAAAATATATTTCGTATAATGCATCACTGATTTTTTTAATGTTCGCAAATTGTTCCATGTCGTCTGAGTTTTTATGTACCAAGATTATTATTGGATAATATGTACATAACATTTGATAACTCTGACAAAAACTAAAAAGTGCAAATACATAACACAAAACTGTTTTGTTATAGGATCATGTCACATGTTTGAATCTTAGTTGCGACTCAAAATGATATGTAGATGGACTAGGGTAGAGGAGAAAACTCAATGTCCATGCACAATTTCGAAGCTTGGTTATACAAGTAAGATAAATATAGGCACATCTCTGGTGATGCTTTATGGATCTTTAGAAAAACATTTGGTTCTGTAAGGTTGTAGAAAATAATGTCAAAATTCAATTGTAGATTTGTGGTGTTTGAAACTTAATGGCTCAACACTTTGGTAAGAACAGGGAATATTTGACTGTGCAATGGCATCAGTCCATGATATGTGCAAAAAACATCATGTGTATTAGAACTAAAATTTGTACTTTGTTCAAATCAAGCATAGCATAATTAACACTATTGATATATCCACAACCCTAGGCAATCCCCTCATCTTCACTTTTCCCATTGTTTCTCCGGCCATGGCCAGTGAGACCACTGGTCAGTCACCAAAGGCTGGCCAGACTAATCTTCTTCCCTCTTATTCTAATTACCCACCTTTGCCTACTCACACAAATCCTAATAAGCCAATAAGTCTAGTTTGGCTGTAGTAAATCCAGATAATTGTCCAAACAAAAGATTCAATATGCTAATCTAACCACCTGTCAACTATCCCCATGAAGATGATTGACTATTGTAATGGAATCATATGGTTGAAGATGATGTTTCTAGAATAAACAAACTATTAAAAATCTTCAATATGCGGCTATATCCCCATAAAAGGATATTGGGACCAGCAACTCGTTTGCTACTCTATCTGAATGTACCACAAGATAGATCATGCAAACAAGAGAACACAATACAACTATTACAAGTGTAGGAGAAAGAACTGATCAAAATTAAGGAGAAAAGGAGTGATGTAGCAACCAGCCCTGAAGTACCTGCAAATCAAAGTAAGATATTAATGATCCAAAAATAGGAGTAATAGAAACAGGCACAAGGTTTGAAAATAAGCAAGGGAGTCACAAGTTAAAGATGGTAAGGCATGCAGTAAAAACAAGACTTCAGTACTAGAACAGGCAGTAGAATTGGAGAAGCAGCAATCCCTGGCATTTATGGAGGGTCCCAATAGTGGTGGATGTTGATGATTCATTGGTTATAACGGGGGCTAGTGACCTGTTGGGGTTTAGCAAGTGTGAATGGGAAAAGAAAAGAGAGAATATGAAAAGTGAGGGAACTACTTTGGAAGGAAAATGAAAAGTCATTTGCAAAGTGCAAATGAAAAGTCATTTATCGCATATCGGCAAAAGAAAGGGAAATTGTTGTCCTTATATAAGGAAACAATTCCTTCACTTCTTAAATAGCTAAGAAGAAGATGCATGCTCGGCCTCGGCCTCGGCTTCGGCTTCGGATTTGGATTTGAATTTGGATTTGGATTTGGATTTGGCAAATGATGTGATTGATTGATAAATTTTTTGGACAAAATTTATTTAATCAGTTTTTGTTAAATCAAATAAATCACGTTTAATATTATCTCTTATAAAATTGCGGGTAACGATAACATTCTGAAAAGTTGTTACTTTTTCTGAAAAGTCGTTACTTTTCAAAAAGTCGTTACTTTCCAAAAAGTCGTTATCTTCCTAACAGACACAATTTTCTGAAAATTTGTTATTTTTTCTAAAAGACACAACTTTCTGGATAAAATGGGTCTGAACAGATTTCACTGAACAGACACGTTCCTTGCTGAAAATGGCTATAAAAAGAAGTCAATTTTCGATTCTTCAAACACTAAAAATTTTTCCTTCTCTGCATTTATTTTTCTCTCAAATAAAATCAAAGTGTTGATCGACTGAGTCTGTGTGACTTGTTGCTGTTCTAAAGTTCTCTGAAGTTAAAAAAATTTGAGGTACCGCTGTTTCTTTAACAGGTTTAATCCATTTTATCTTTGGAGAAATTAATCCATAACCTTGGGTACAGTGAGGGGATCAAATTTCTTTGGGACACACAGTAGTTTCTGTGGACTCGGATTACTTTTTTTATTTTATGTATTTTTCTGCTTCATCTTATTTCTATTTCTGTTTATTAACCTTATAAATACAGGTTACTATTAGAATAACAATCTTATGAAATTTGAGAAAAAAATGACTAATTCAAGAGAAAAAAAATGCTTGAATAGTAAGTGCTGCAACAACATCGGTTGCACCTAATCGTTCAAATGCTGCCTTAGCGCCGGCTGAGAAACCTGCAAGTTTTCTGGAGTTGACTTTAAGAGATGGCAGCAAAAGATGTTCTTCTATCTCACTACGTTGAGTCTACAGAAGTTCATTAATGAGAATGTTCCTATTATGTCAGATGAAACTCCGACTGATGAACGATTCTTGGTAACAGAAGCATGGACACACTCAAATTTTTTGTGTAAAAATTATATTTTGAGTGGTCTGCAAGATGATCTGTACAATGTGTACAGCAATGCCAAAACCTCAAAAGAACTCTAGGATGATATAGAAAAGAAGTACAAAACAGAAGATGCCGGAATGAAGAAATTCATTGTGGCAAAATATCTAGACTATAAGATGATAGACAGTAAGACTGTAGTCACCCAAGTTCAAGAATTGGAGGTCATAATCCATGATCTCCTTGCTGAAGGATTGATTGTGAATGATTCTTTTCAAGTGGCTGCAATTATTGAAAAATTACCTCCATTATGGAAGGACTTAAGAAATTACTTGAAACACAGACGCAAGGAGATGACTGTTGAAGATCTCATAGTAAGGTTGAGAATCGAAGAGGATAATAAGGCTGCAGAAAAGAGGTCACGTGGTAATTTAGCAATATCTGAAGTAAATTTTGTTGAAGAAGATCCCACAAAATTAAAGAAAAGAAAGAAAGCATCTGGTTCAAAAAGCAATCCTCCTAAGAAGAAATTCAATGGAAACTGCTTTAACTGTGGTAAACATGGTCATAGGTCTAATGAATGCCGGGGTCCAAAGAAGGACAAGAAAAAGAAAGATCAAGCAAATTTGGCTGAATCCAAAGAAGAAATGGACGATCTCTATGCAATGCTTTAAGAATGTAACTTGGTTGGAAATCCAAGAGAATGGTGGATAGATTCTGGTTCCTCTTGCCATGTTTGGGCAAACAAAGAATTATTTTCATCATATACTCCAGCACTTACAGATGAAAAATTGTTTATGGCAAACTCCGTTGTTGCAAAGGTGGAAAGAACTAGCAAAGTCCTATTAAAATGATATTAGGCAAGGTGGTGACTTTGAATAGGGTCTCATATGTTCCAGAATTGAGAAAGAATTTAGTTTCAATTCCAGTTCCGACCAAGAATGGATTTAAATGTGTATTTGTTTCTGATAAAGTAGTAGTAAGCAAAAATGATATGTATGTAGGAAAAGGCTACCTTAGTGATGACATTTTCAAACTCAATGTAATTGAAGTTGATATGAATAAAGATTTTGCTTCTTCTTACTTGCTTGAGTCTAAATGTTTATGGCATGAACGTTTGGGACACGTTAATAAAAAAAACCTTGCGAATACTGATTAGCTTAAATATTTTGCCAAAATTTGAGTGCAATAAATCAAAATGTCAAATTTGTGTTGAATCTAAGTATGCTAAGCATTCTTATAAATCTGTTGAAAGGAATTTAATCCTTTAGAATTGATTCACACTGATATTTGTGACATGAAGTCAACACCATCACGTGGTGAGAAAAAGTATTTCATAACTTTTATTGACGATTGCAGTAGATATTGTTATGTATATTTGCAAAATGGCAAGGATGAAACAATAGATGCATTTAGGCAATATAAAACTGAAGTTGAAAATCAGTTAGATAAAAAGATCAAAATGATCAGAAGTGATATAGGTGGAGAATATGAATCTCCATTTGCAGAAATATGTTTAGAAAATGGAATAATCCATCAAACTACTGCTCCCTACACTCCTTAGTCTAATGGAATTGCAGAAAGGAAAAACCGAACTTTAAAAAATTAAAAATGCATTACTTATAAGTTCAGGTTTACCATAGAACTTGTGGGGGGAAGCTATCCTTATAGCAAATCGAATACTTAACAGAGTGCCTCACTCAAAGACAAGTTTAATTCCATATGAGAAATGGAAAGGTAGAAAACCCAATTTGAAATATTTCAAAGTGTGGGGGTTTCTATCCAAAGTCCAAGTTCCTATACCTAAGAGGGTAAAAATAGGACCTAAGACTATGGATTCTGTATTCATTGGATATGCCACAAACAGTAAGGCATGTCGATTTTTGGTTCATAAGTTCGAACATCCGGATATTCATGATAATACGGTAATGAAATCAGATAATGCTGAATTTTTGAACATATCTATCCGTATAAAACTAGACTTGAGTCATCTAGTGGGGGATCTAAACAACCCAGAGAAGAACCAAAAGAGAATGAACAAAATGATGAAAGTCCAAGACGCAGTAAACGTCAAAAGACATCTACTTCATTTTGATCAGATTTTGTAACATTTCTTATTGAAAGTGAGTCCCAAACATTCAAGGAAGCAATGTTGTCTAGCGACTCAACCTCTTGGAAGGAGGCTGTTAATAGAGAAATTGAATCAATCTTAAGCAATCATACTTGGGAGTTGGTAGATCTTCCTCCAGGGAACAAACCC